TTTGAAAGTAAGCAAAATGTATGACTAACCCTGACTTAAAAGACTGAAATGCTTTGATCTGTCATCGCAAGATTACATTTCCTCCAAAATTATATCAACGATCACCTTTTGCACTCCTCCAGTTAGCTTATGGGTGGGAGGATCTTTTCGGCACTACAGCCTTGTTTTATTAGTTTGTGTGTTTCTTCTTTGTCTTTTCTTTGGCCAGGATTCAACAACCTTCTTGCATGAGTGGAAAGCAGTTCTGTCCATGCAATGGAAGGCTCTAATTTCGGTGAGTTTCGCCCTCAAGCTGCTTGCTGCTCCTGGGACAACATCCAGTGTCATTCTGGCTTTTGAAGGGCCACAAAGAACTGAATAGAAAGGAGGAGGCAGGAAAGCCCAGCTGAATGGGTGGGGGGCTCTTTTGACCCTGAGATCACAGGCCCTCATCAGCAACCTTCCAGTGGCCACATACTAGCAATGGGCAAACGTGGGCGAGGTCAAAGGCAAAAGTAGCCAGACCAATAAATGTGACTTGTACCTTCATACAGTAGGCTACATTTGTCCTGCATTAATTTGTTGCATCCTCTTCAAGTTGGTGGCCATCATTGCCTCCCTGTGGAATAATAATAATAATAATAATAATAATAATAATAATAATAATTTATTTATACCCAGCCCATCTGGCTGGGCTTCCCCAGCCACTCTGGGCGGCTTTCAACAAATTATTAAAATACAGTAATGCATCAAACATTAAAAACTTCCCTAGACTTCCATAGTCTCAATAACTTTGCACACCAGGAAGCAGGAAAAGATTGGTTTTTGGCATGGAAATGAAAGAGAATATGTGAGTAAATAGCAAGGTTACAAATATGTTGGCAGCAGATAATAATTCAATACATAAGCAACTTGGTTCTAAAGAGTAAGGGAGTCCTGAAAGCCTAAGGAAAGTCTGCATCGGTCACACTAAATAAATATATGGAAAGGAGGTGAGATCTTGCAGCCTAATCTTGGTGCAAGTGAAATGCAAAGACAGGGATCTGTACCTTCTGTGAGATTTAAGCTTTCCCCTTCAAAAGCCTATGGCAGCAAAGCCACAGCATCTCTCACTGGTTCCCTGGTCCATGGGTCAGTGAAGTGTGGGGTTGATCCTGGAGATCATTGAGGAGCAAAGACGGGGGCTTTTGGAGCTGTGAGCTAACTAAGCATTGGACACCTGGGGTTTAAGTATATTTTGACTCCTATGGGGAGAGGAAGGGGCTTCCTTAGTGAGTGAATAACATAACACTATTTCAGGGGTCAGCAACCTTTTTCAGCCTTGGGCAGGTCCACTGTCCCTCAGACTTTGTGAGGGGCCGGACTATTTTTTTTGGGGGGGGGGAGAATGAATTCCTATGCCCCACAAATAACCCAGAGATGCATTTTAAATAAAAGCACACATTCTACTCATGTAAAAACATGCCGATTCCCAAACCGTTCGTGGGCCAGATTGAGAAGGCGATTGGGCCGGATCTGGCCCCCGGGCCTTAGTTTGCCTACCCATGCACTATTTGAACTGTTGTTTGTTCCAACTAGTGTGCTATTGTGTTTTGTGAGATGCGTTTGAAGTGAAGAGGACATGACCTTCATTTTGGGAAGACCACATCTTTATCTTATAATTTTATTTCTATTAATGTTTATTAATTGTTTTTTGATATTTTATTTTTTCTTGTGTTTTTTAGGGATTCTCCTTTTTATCTGTAAACCTCCTTGAGGCCTCTCACAGGGAAAGCCTGGATACAAATAAATATATAATATTAATAATAATAATCTTCACCGTTCCTAAATCATAAATTTACCTTGTAAGAGATTTTCATTGTCTGTGTGAAGTCTGGTTCCTTCTAACAGGAGGCTAATAGCTAGGATTAGTGCTCTGATCTTTTCCACAACTATTAGGGTCATGATGTTAGCTGCTCTTTCTAGGCCACATATGAGATAGGAGCTTGTACCAGGGTTACAGATAATTCGTGAGAGGTATGTTTTATATTAAATTCATGCCAGCTGAACTGCTGCCATGATCCATAGAAAAAGTCCATGTTAAAAGTCTGGCACCCACCATCACAGTGTTCCTGTCATAAAGCTGGGGTGACAGTCAAGAAAAGTCCTTAATATAACCCTCAGTTCTGTAAACAAATAGTTCATTTGAATAGTTCGTTCAAAGAACTGTAGTGAACTGCTCCAATTTGTTTGAGAAATTGTAAACTGACTGCCGGCTGATTATCAAGATCATAACAATATCTAAGTAGAGTTGCCATCCTCTTTTTTCTCTTTCTTTTTTTTGGGGGGGTGGTGGTGGTAATAATCTGCCCAATGGCATTACAATGAACTTTTTCTCTATCTCTTAATGAAGTGATATTTATACTATCAATGACTCTTTAAATTCAATCAGCGGTGAAAATTAATACAGCAAAGCACCTTACTTCTTAACCCTGAATATTTTTTGATGAACTACTTGCTCACAGACTTAAGGATATTATTAAGGTGTGTTTTTACCCCAATTACTGTAGTAAGGCACTTTATTTCCTGAATCTGAAGATCTCCTAATGAACTGTAATGAAGCACTTTATTCCGTGAATTTGAACAAACTATTCAAAGGAACTATTTGTTTACAGAATTGAGGGTATTACTGTATTAAGGACTTTTTCAGCTAATATAGTGAAGCACTTTATTTCCTGATCGGAAGATTTCCTAGGAAACGATCCTAGTAAGTATTGGAAGCCAGCGTAAATCATGCCAGTTTATGCCAAGCTGACATTAAGTATGCCAGACCAAAGTCTTCACCCATTGACCCTTAACCCTACAGGCGCAGGAGCAAACCCCAAAGATCTAAGGAGCATGTGGTCCATGCAGATGGGAAATGAAAGTGTTCTTCTGGAGTAGACTTCCTTAGAATGCATTGTTCTTACTCATAAAATTTGCTAGCACAGTTACTAGAATGGTTTAGTTGATGTCAACAGGAGATTATGTTCTGCTGCTTATAAATAACGTGAAAATGGGAGGAGAGAACATTGAAGGCCATGTGGGGTTATTTAAGGAGGGATTTTATCACTCCTGAGCATTCACGTCTTTGACTGGCTGCCCTCCACAAAGTACACAGTGTCTTGTCACATCACAGTGGGGCAGGAACTATTTCCAAAACTAACATTCCATAAATCTACATCACATTCTGCTGTGTGCCAAGAAATAAAGACAGGAGATGATTTATGCAGGGGGTTCTCTTTCCTTGTTACATTTCCCCTGACATTTCCATGAATACTTTTTTCTTTTGAAAAACAAAATATGACTATATTAATCAAATAATGGCCATTATATATGGAAAGGCAGGATCTACAATGAACAAACAAAGCAACACTTGCCTACTCTAATGTAGCTGCCTCCTCTGATTTATCTTATTCTGCAGAGGCCTTAATCTAACCAGCACTTCACATGATGTCTTCTGCATCTTATTCTAAGTTCATAGTTGATCTCATTTGAAAAGGGGCAGATGTTTTTAGCCACTCACCCACAAAGTCTTCTTATTTGTACCTTCCTGCACTCTTCCAGGCAAAGTGACATGTGATTATCAAATAATATATTGCCAATGTTCAATTACTGGCAAAATAGCCTATGTGTCCTTTTCCAAACGTACATGAAGTTTGTCTTGGGGAGATTAATGGTATTTATTTCACAGCATCCTCCCTAGGCTTGACTTTGAAATCGGTGGTGTGACAGCCAGTTCAAGCGAGACAGTTAAACTTGCATGACAGGTCCACCTCCAGAAGGTGTGTAGAAAACTTTCTGCTATGCATTTAGTTGCAGTTGCCAAGAATTTTTCAAGTTGATGCTGCTTTCAGCACTCAGGTCTATTTGCCTGCAGTCTCTTTTCACTCATCCATTGACAAATAGTTATTACACAATCATTGGGCCATCCTAAGAGAAGTAGATGGGGTGGGAGAATAATGTAGTAAAATGATCCATACAATCACTTTACAGCTTTCAGATTTATATCCTCTCCCCCAGGATTGAGTGGTCTATTCCATTGCCCTGTAGAGTCGTCTGCTATGGTAAGTGACCAGATAACACAGATGATGTTCAATAAATATATATAAATTCGAAGAGGTGGGAAGATGAGGGGGAAATCACACAGCATTAATAAGCACACACCTATGGAATTTGCATGTATAAAGATTACTGATCTAGATCTCACCTAAGTTGGGTGGGTGGCTGAAAACAATTTATGAAAGCCATTTCCCATTGTGCTAGGCCTTGCTAGAGTCTGTAGGTGCTAGTAATTATACCATTGACACAGACCCAGCAGCTACAGAGTAGACAAAAAATACAATTCAGATCACAATTAAAGGTGAACCTCCCACATTCACAGCTTCCAAAAACAGTATGAGAACCGGAACACAGCCTTCCTTCAAAATCCGAATGACTCTGAAGTTTGTGATGCCGTTCCCAACCAAAAAAATATATATGGTGGTACCTCGGTTTACGAACAGCCCTGTTTATGAACTATTCAGTTTACGAACTCCGCAAAACCGGAAATAGTGTTCCGGTTTGCAAACTTTACCTCGGTCTACAAATGGAAGCTGAACAGTGGAAGGGCACCGGCGGTGGGAGGCCTCATTAGGGAAAGCGCACCTCAGTTTAAGAACGGATTTGGTTTAATTATGGACTTTAGGAACTAATTAAGTTCGTAAACCAAGGTACCACTGTACATCTGCATAAGAGGGAAGTGTGCATATAAATTAAGGGTCTGCAGAGAAACTGAAATTGACAGATTTGTCCATTCCTACTTGTCATGGAGGAAGCATCATTTATGGCTGTTTCACCCTGTAATTCATGCACGGGTCTGCCAATCAAAGGTCTGTATTTCAGGTCACGGCCAAAAGTCCCACTGGAAAGAGTGAAGTACCTGGTCTCAGCATACTCTTGTGCTCAGCATGCTCTTGTGCTCAGCATGCTCTTGTGCTCTGGGGACCTGAAACCAGTGCTAAGCCTTCACCTGGAATAGCTCGGTCAGTAGAGCATGAGACTTAATCTTAGGGTTGTGGGTTCGAGCCCCATGTTGGGCAAAAGATTCCTGCATTGCAGGGGGCTGTGCTAGAGGTAGAGGAAGGGGAGTGGCTGAAGAATAGCAGAGACTTCCTTTCACAATCCCAGGAGGTAGAGGAAGCAGCAGCAATAGCAACAGCAAGCAGCAGTCACACCAGAGCTGCAACGAGTGGGAAGAGAAAGAGAGGGCTGCGGGAGATTTAGTCTGTTGTTCTACTCTAATAGGTCATGACGGGGACTTCTCCAGAGACTCCATTCCAGTCCTGGGTGTTCAGAAGGCACCCTTGTGTGAAAGCAAGCTTGAGGGTCCTACCACATAATTTTGGCATTGTTTTATTTCTGGACCCCACCCTGATGGCACTCAGTGCTGTTAACGGATCGCTGTAGATCTTGGCGTATGACAGATTAAAACTAAACTTTATTTCTGCTGTGCAAGGGCTAAACTCTGAGAAGAAGTCCAGCAGCATCCTGTGAAGATGGGACTCCTCAGAGGCAGGTTTGGAAAGATAACAATCCAGCTTGCCCTCATCTTCACCGGCTTCTGAGACGGGCTCTGGGGCATGCACCCTACACCACTTTTTGCCAGAGTTGATCTTGGGACTTCCTGCGTGTGATGCTGCAATCCTAGCCCCACTTACCTGGGAGCAAGCCCAGCTGAACTCAGTGGGACTTACTTCTGAGTAGGCACATACTTTGCACACCTCATGAGAAGAGAAGACTCCCTGGAAAAGACCCTGATGTTGGGAAAGATGGAGGGCATAAGGAGAAAGGGACGACAGAAGACGAGATGGTTGGATAGTGTTCTCGAAGCTACCAGCATGAGTTTGACCAAACTGCGGGAGGCAGTGGAAGACAGGAGTGCCTGGCATTCTCTGGTCCAGGGGGTCACGAAGAGGCAGACACAACTAAACGACTAAACAACAACAACAAGGTACAGATAGGATTGCACTGTAAAGTGTGTTCTCTGCTAATGCGCTACGACCCTTGCCAAGTATACATGAATATCTTGCAGCAACAAAAACTTCTGTTATTCTTATAGCAACCTCACTCTAATGACTATATAGGCAACATAAATATTGCCAGACTTCTTTGTATTTTGCACAACTCCTGCCACTCCCCAACAAAGATCTTAAATAAGCAATCTGAGGATTATTTCTTCATATGACTTATATGGCTAGGTTTTTTTAATATATATATTGCCAGTATTTGGTCCCCGGGCCTTTTAAAAATGTGTGTGTGTGTGATTGACACTATGCACAATCACTTTTTCCACACTGTTCTGCCCAAGAGATACACAGCCTTTCAAATTACCGGCAGCCCAACCACGAGACCCCGCTTTGCTCTTATAACCAAGTGTTCTCAATAGTGCCTCATTATAGGGATATTTTAAGAGGAAAGCAATCCAGTCAAAAAAGGCTTTTTCTAAACTGGTTCCTAGCTCAATTTCTAGCATGAACAGATTTGAGGGCACTTTCATATATACCAGGCTGGAGCCACTGCATGTTGGGTTGAAATGACCCAGAATGTAATCGACAGACGGGGAGCCTTCATAGACTTCCTTTGGAACATCATATCTCAAATAACAATAGCCATGGCTTTCCATTCTGGGCCAATTCAGATCAGACCGGGACCACCTGAGGTCACCACAATTACAGAAATTAATGCTTTGATAGAACCCTCCCACTCAAAATAACAGAAATTAATGCTTTGATATAACACTCCTGTTCCTCCCCTTTTAATGCATTTCTCTTCAAAGGGCTTGCAAAGCGCAGAATTCCCAGTGCTTGGCATTTTATACGGGTCATTCACATGATCTCTCGATCTTGATTGATAGACGTTGGCTCTTTAATCACATTCAATTCACACAAGGTTAGAAAGCAGCAAGGGGGGAGGAACTTTCGCTGCTCCAAAGAGCATTTAATGTAGCGGGGAATCTGTGCATAGACCATTCATGCAGTGGTGCCACTAGGGCCAGGCTGCTGGGCAAATGTCGGAGGCCCCACAACTTAGAAACTAAGTGGCAGGGCAGGAGCAACTTAATGGGGGCAGTGCTGGTACCTGCAGAGAAGGATGGCGCTGTATTGGTAGCTGAAAGCCCATCAAGTTGTCTGTCATTCGAATTAAATGCTCTCCCCCAGGGTGAGAGTGGAAGCAAGGAGAGCCAATCAGATACTACCTTGGGGGTCACCGGGCCAATGAGAGCACGGGAGCAAAATGGAACTCGCAAGGAATTCCTGGCCGCTAAACTATATAATGGTATTATCCATGCTGGTTGTATTGAAGGAAAACTCTGGACAGGCATGATGGGGGGGAGGGAATGGATTTTCCTTTCTTTTGGGAAGACAGAGAAGAAATGTGTACTTGGGGTAAATAAACTGAAGGGGGAATTCTTTGTGGAAGATCTGAGTGGACGTTTCCCAACCCTTCTCTCTCTCAAGAAATAATAATAATAATAATAATAATAATACTCTTGAATATCAGTCACCCTCTGACTACATCCTCACAATCCCACATGTAGGTTAAAATTTCATCTGTACCTAATCATGCACTGTAATAATATGAAGCCTTTCCATGCAGCTGCTCATTTCTCAATGTTTAAACAGCCCGATTTTTTACAGTTAAGAGAGGAGCTAGTCCTTATGAAATGATCTTGACATGGTGTATTTCCAGGCCAGTCTTATGCATGCCCCACTGAGTTTGATGAAGAATTGCAGCCTTAAACTACCATGTTAAACAATGGAAATTAGCTCCACTGAAACATGAGGGAAGTTATTGGCGTGGGCATGCAGGATATAAATAACAATGATAAATTAACAATAATAACAAATAATGGTTTCCAAGTTTTTGTTTTTGTTTTTAAAAAAACTTATGCCACCTTCTCTCCTAGGGTGAACAACAGGCTTGCTGGGAAGGTGAAGCATAGTGAAGTTAGAAAGATTTGGGGTTTTTAGAGGTGCTACTTTTAAAGATAACCAGGCACATTAAATGCAGTCACATTGAACATATTGCCATGCATGTTTACCATAAAGACTAAGTGATGTAAAGTAAAACAAAATAAAAAAATTCCTTCCAGTAGCTCCTTAGAGACTGTGATTTTATTGGTGTTGGCTGCCCTGAGCCTGGCTCTGGCTGGGGAGGGTGGGGTATAAATAAAAATTATTATTATTATTATTATTATTATTATTATTATGTTTGTTATCGGTATAAGCTTTCATGTGCATTCACACTTCTTCAGATTTTCGTGCACGCACGCAAAAGCTCATACCAATAACAAATTTAGTTGGTCTCTAAGGTGCTACTAGGACGCGAGTGGCAATGTGGGTTAAACCACAGAGCCTAGGACTTGCCGATCACAAGGTCAGCAGTTTGAATCCCCGTGACAGGGTGAGCTCCCATCGCTCAGTCCCAGCTCCTGCGAACCTAGCAGTTTGAAAGACCCAGAAGCTTTACACCGGCTCCCTCGGCCAATAAAGCGAGATGAGCGCCGCAGCCCCAGAGTCAGTCACGACTGGACCTAATGGTCGGGGTCCCTTTACCTTTACCTTTAAGGTGCTACTGGAAGGATTTTTTTATTTTGTTTCAACTACAGCAGACCAACACAGCTACCTACCTGTAACTGATATAAGGTAGTAACTGCTACTCAACAATTCCCCTAAGCTTCAGAACGGATGGGGGGTTTATTGCAACCATGTCTTATTACATTAGAGCTGAATTAGGCTCCAGACCTCTAGGACATTCAAAAATAGTCCCCTGCTGTGACAAGCAAGGATAGCCGCATAAGGTCACAATGACAGAACAGGAGCATTTGGTGAAAGGGTATCGTGGTCTTTTTCTGCATTGCTGTGTGGTTATTTGGAATTGGTCAACACCGTCAAAAAATAGGGTTATGTGAATCATTCCCTGATGTTCTCCTGCAAGTTGCACTTTATATTTGAGTTATTGGGGCTCCCAGTGGACAGTTGAAGCCCAGGAAAGGATAGAAGTGGACTGTTGTGCATATAGTCTGACAAGGATGCAGATTGGAAATGGTTAAAACTGTACTGATGGTGATACAAAATGCCCTCCTTCCCCCAACTCTCCTCATTCATTAATCTCAAAGAGGGTAATCACACAGCAGCAGCTGTTTCAGCCAAAGTATATCATGAATAGCAGAACCAGTGATAAAACAATGGAACACTACCACCTTTTAGATGGAAAATCAGTGGAAACATGAAGAGAAGAAGAAGAAGAAGAGTTTTGGATTTGATATCCCGCTTTATCACTACCCTAAGGAGTCTCAAAGTGGCTAACAATCTCCTTTTCCCTTCCTCCCCCACAACAAACACTCTGGGAGGTGAGTGGGGCTGAGAGACTTCAAAGAAGTGTGACTAGCCCAAGGTCAACCAGCAGCTGCATGTGGAGGAGCGGGGAATCGAACCCGGTTCACCAGATTACGAGTCCACCGCTCTTAACCACTAGACCACACTGGCTCTCACACACACTCCTTGAATGGAGTGGTCCATGGTCTGTTGAGCCTGGCTTTGCCTATGTAGACACTATAACATTCAAGCACACACACAGCAAATAATTTTGGGCACAGCCATCGGTTAAGGTTTCCTGGGAATTGTAACTATCAGCAGTAAACTAGTGCCCAGAATTCTTTGACAGAATGTGTTTTTGATGTAATTTAAAGGTATAGTCTGTAAACAGCCTTGGTCTCATTTGATACATGGAAGATGGAGCATGCTTGCTTTCTCCTGCTCTGGAGGGTAGGACTCAAACCAATAGCTTCAAGTTACAAGGAAGGAGATTCTGACTAAACATCAGGAAGAACTGTCTGACAGTAAGCTGTTTGACGGTGGAGCAGCCTCCCTTGGGAGATGGTGGACTTTCCTTCCTTGGAGGTTTTTAACCTTGGAGGTTGAGTGGCCATCTGTCATGGATGCTTTAGTGGATATTCTTGCATTGAACCGCCCTGAGACCTCCGGGTATAGGGTGGTATATAAATTCAATAAATAAAATAAAATAAAATTGCAGGGGT